TTTGCTGCTTTACTTATTAAAAAAATGTCAAAATGTTTAACGATGAATAGAAATCTTTTAATTACTCACACACGACAATTTCCTGTATAGATGGGATCAGGCGTCGACCGCAATTTCCAGCCTTCATTGGCCAGTAATGAAACTCATCAGTATTCCTGTTTTCATCAACAAAAGTCAACTGTTCGATATGGTAATATCTGCGATCGTAGACAGGCTGGGTCTTGATCACTGTCAATCACACGCTCAGCATGTTCAACAGGTACCAGCGAAATGACGCTCTGTTCCCCTACATAGGATTGGAATGGCTTTGATCTTGCAAGAACTGTGTAGGCTAATCCACGATTTCAACTTTTCTAGTCCGCAGGCCCGATTCGTAACATGATCCGTTGTCTGAATCAGAAAGGCATCCAACAAAACCAGTTCAAAGATGTTTAATACCATCCCAAAGGGTCTTCTTCCAGCGAAATCGATGTGGTGATATTATATGCCATAATATGATGATGGGCCGGTTCAGAAGTGATTTTCAACTTTCATAATGCCCTTCGGCCCGCGACCGCTCGTTTGTGTTCATCAACTCTAGCCTGCAATGGCCGTGATATCTGGCCAATATACTTTAGGTTGCAAGTCAGGCAGTCCATCAGGTACATCACATCTGTTGTGTCTTCAACAGGTATCCGGTCTTTAACCTTTGTTAGGACTGATCTTAGCTTGCCTTTAGACTTTAAATTAACTCTGATGTTCGCAAGATTCATGATCCGCGCAACAGATTCCGACAGGCCCGGAAAGTAAGACGGCAAACTGGGGTCCTGCTTCCGCCTCAGATCTCGTTCGGTCTACATCGTGATGCATTCCGGATGAACCGTCTTGAGTACCCATTTCATTCCAGTGAGACGTAAACGTGGCTTACTTCGTTTCCCGCTTAAGTGTTTGAACACAGGCTGTCGGCTCGATCCATGAGGCATTTAACAACCCTGACCTTAGTAGCAACGAAGTGGTTAGATTTGAAATGGTGGATATATGTTGGTTTTCTGCATACCGACAATTCCATCGAGCCACCGGCTAAGCGACTCATTTTACAGGCCAGGAATGGAATTGTGCCACCTTTCTCTTCTTCCATCGTAAATTGTGCTTTTAAACAGATGGTGAACGTGTCATCAACGCAACGCCACCATATTCTGGGAGTCAATGACGTAGATTTAAAGGCGGTACACAGAAATTTCTTCAAGAATAGACTGGCCATTACTGGCGAAATCAGAGATCTCATTGCAACTCTACCTGTCTGTTAGTAGATCCTTCCCTTGAATGCAAACCACGTGTTTTCCAGGCAAAAGCTCACGCGTTTAAAAACCTGATCAATCGAGTGAATCGTGTTCACTTTCCAACTCTGCACCGCGTTGAGCCGTTCTTTCACTGCTTCCATGGCTAGTTGAACCGGAATACATGTGAAACGAGAAACAACGTCAAAATGCTCACAGTGATCTCTTTTTCTGTGTTCTGTCGTAGAAGTGTATCTGTAGGTCGATGATTTTTAATCGATGGACCGCTAAGTCGCACCAATGGTCTGAGTAATATCGTGAGACATTTTGCCAAGTTTAGGCAGACGTTAAAATGCAGTCGAAGATTTGACGAACAGGCATACCCATTTTGTGCATTTTCTGCAGGCCGTATATTCTCGGGGCTCGATCTGCTTTGGGATTTAAGTGAAAAATCTTCGTTTCCCAAGATCCGTTTTAACTCTTTTACGACCTTGTTACCTCTCGCTACGCGTCCTCCGATTATACTCTCCGCTTCTTTCTAGGGGCCGCTCTGAATCATATCGTTCATTTAAAAAATGTAATCCGATTTGTTCATCAGTACGACGGCACTGCCCTTGTCTGCCGCTATGATAGCCAGTGAATTATCATTCCTGAGGTTGCGATATGCATCCGCCTGCGCCTCGTCTCTCGTGATATGGCTCTTTGGTTGTTTATATCCCTTTATCACAATCGCGATACGTTCAAGTAAGTCTTCTGCTACGTCCTGATCAGCGTGCTGTAAACCTCTTTCGATTGCAGCAATGAATTGAGACGCACAATTTCGTGGCGATCGCGAAATCTCCGTCGAAAAATCGAAGTCTCTGCATCGGTCAAGGTCTTATCCGACAAGTTAACAATTTCTTTCTTTTCTACTACTATTACCATACCTCGACCTCTCTTCCACGGAAGTTTTTTGCTCATTAAATAATCGTTAAAGTGTCTTACTTTGCTTTCTTTTTATACTATCACATTCTTTGCCAAAGAGATAACTGTATATCTCTAATTTTCCTGCTTCCATCGTTCGAGACAGCTGAGTTGATCTCTTTTTCAATTCGGAAAGTGTCGCTAAGGATTTCTTGTAGTTTTCCCATGCACTCCTGCAAGCGAACTCTCAGGTATATCTTTGCAGTTCTTTTGACAATCTTTCAACCAGCAAACGAATTCATTGTGGTGGTCTTAGTATTCGCATTGGAAACACCTATACTTATACTGATGCATCGCAGATTGAACAATCGGTAATTTTGTCATTTTTTCTCTAAAAGATGGAGCTTTATAAGCCCGCTGCTGAGTATTCGAATATCAAATCCGTAATTCAAACAGTTCGAAGAAACGTGACTTCGTGGAATACATGAATAATGGTGACAGAAATCATTTACTTCAATTATTCACAGAAAACAATTTCCTGTATAGATGGCTTCAGGTCTGGTTGGTTTTGCATTAGAAAAGGGAAAATCAGATACTTCCCCATCTGCTGTCTGGCATCAAAAAATTTCAGTGATGCGCAGAGTTTCCGTCACAGTTCCACATGTTTTTGCTGTAGAAATCGACGATCCCTATTACAGGAACACCTGTGCAGAAACGGTCTAAAGGCATCCTTCGCTTAAAGTGAAGAAAGTGGAGAATGATTCTGCAGCAACGGGTTTTTCATATTTGAATGCGTTCTCTTGTACATTCAAGTTATTCTGTTATGCTACTGTAATACAGACTTTGACTAGTTCAGAGCTCACTAACTTTCGACTAGCAGGTGAGGCCGGATTTTACTGAAAAGCGATGGATACGTATTTTACAAGTTTGAGGGCGATGTTGCGTTCTTCGATATCAGGGCTTATGAGGCGTCAGAGCTTGAAGAAATATGTGCACTCTAAGAGAGAACGAAATGAAGCGAAGATAGAATTTACACTATGACACAGAATCAAGTGAATCAAGGGACAGAGGTCCCATGACAAAAACTTAGCAGAAATACAATTAAGTAATCTAATCTTGTGCTTGGATATCAATGTCTTCATATATTTCTGAACAGAAACTGTTTGCATAAACAAGAAGAGCATAGCAACGTGTTAGCCAATTCCCAACTGGGATACGATTAATAACAGCTGTAAATTTTAGAGCTCGTCAGTTTAATTTTTGTGTCACGTAAGCTCAGAGCAAGCGACCAACGAACGTTTCCAGATCGCAAAGCTGTACTATGCAAATACTGTAGCGGAAATTGCTCGTATAACCATAGAACAGGATATTCCGTATATTAACTTGCCATTATCTAGAACCGGCAAAGTGTAGCAGCATAAGACTTTACCGCTTGTCAAGCGCTTTCCACTGACGAAGTCAAGGATGATTGTAAACTGCACACTGTGTCATGTAAACGATCTGACGTTTTTCAACCATTTCAGATACTCAAAACTTAGAATTATTCGCCGCTCCAGGAGAGGTCACAAAACAAGCAGCATGAACAAAACTGTTTTGTAGAAGCGGTCCTGGCAGTAAAGACCATTTGAAAAACAAAGGAAACAGTAACAAATATTAACCTCTAAAATTATTCTTCCGTGGGATGCCTGGGGACGGGTTGACTAGCAACTCTATAGTCGAATGTTTAAATTTCTAAGCCAATGAATGGCTACCGTGGTAACATATTGGACATCAGTTATGCTGCCGTCGCATATTCGCAGCGGGCATTCAAAAAATAATGTGCTGCATCATCTGATCTTCATAACCGCGGTCACACTGCGGCTGGACTTCATCTTCAACGATGGAGAAGGAGTCCGCAGCGCCCTTTGACAGTTCGAATTCGGTTTACCATTCTTGGCGAGCCAGGTGGTTCTGTGGGGACTGAAGATACGGTCTTTGATCTGGGAGACTTCAGTGTCTCACTTTGCTCGTTACTGTTCCTCGAGACTCATTCGTGGCGTCGTCGCTCGTTCCCAAGTTGAATGGCGTGATTACAGACGTGTTGACTATTCGCCATTTGTAAGAATATACCTCCCACATGTCCGTGGCTGTTAGAGGATACAATGGATAGGAAGCTGGCGACTTTTAAGTGCGATTTCTTAAATAATTGTCGACAAATGCTGATAACCAAAAGCGCAGTCAAGGTGCTGGCTGATATGATATGTTCTAGCTCGAAAGATATTAACTTTCAATAAAAAAATGTATATAAACCGTTTAGGTCTCTTATTTTTGTCAACAGCAATAAAAGAAGCAACCTCAGATTTCGCTGATTTTTTTCTTAAAGTTTGGAAATGACAACGGTATGACGTTTGGCCGACAGGAGAATGCAAACGTTCATGTTTCACAGCATTATAAGGCAGACTAAGATAAAACCATCGTCTTCTATCTCGCGTAACAGGCAGCAAGCGGAAAGTTTCCACCAAAAGACGGCAAACGAAGCATGGATAGCGGAAGTTTTAATCACTCAGAGTAAGTGCTATTCTTGCAGTAGAGCGCTGCGCAGTTTTTCAAGAGCTCTCGTCCTATGACTGATAAGAACTTTCTTTTCTGGACCCATTTCTGCAAAAGTATGAGACCATCCGTTCGGCTCGAAACAAGGATCCCAACCAAAATACGCTGGTCCTCGAGGAGCTACAATTTTCCCATCGGTGCGACCTTGAAACACTTGTATATTCTGCATGTCGTTCCCATCATAGTAGGCGAACGTGCATAATGCATAAGCACTTTTGTCTTCCCAAAAATTCAGTAGATTATACAGACCTTGCGTTCCCAACTTCTGCAAAAACCACTTGATATACGGACCCGGAAGACCGCCGAAAGCATTAAAGCAAAGACATGTATCTTCGACAATCAGTGGTCGTTTCAGAATCTCTGCAGCCATTTTGCACTTTTCGACAGTGATCTGCGAAGGCTCGCCTTGATATTCGGGCAGTTCTATGTTCGCTGAAGTTACCTAAACTTTGTATTTTAAACATATTTCTAGCCGTCTAATTACAATCGAAAGGTCATAAGGCCACGCACATCATTTGTAAGATACGCGGCGTCCCTAAATATACAACTATAAATCTCTTACAAGCAGATTCTTTAATTCACGTCATTTATTTTATTAGCTTTATCTTTTACATAGCTCCCTAATGTTCGAATGCCGAAAAGGGAAATTATGAGTTTTCCAGACATTATATAGTCAGACAACAACTGGGCATACCAACAAAAGTTAGCTTTCGGTTAAAGTAACATATACGTGCTATTCTTTCAGATTTATAATGCAAAATAACTTTTAACTGATGTTTCGGACAGGTTTAATTTGATCCTATTGAGTGACGTGGTTCTGCTTCCATGCACTGATAGTGATCACTAATGACGCAACTGAGACATAAATGAAATGACATAAAACACTGATCATCCCACTTAAACCTATTTATGTTACACGATCACATTCGGAAAAGCTTTCTGAAGCAGCTGTCCTATGACACAACGAGAATACGAAAACCAAAGGTACTGAATGAATTAGCTCATCAATGACGAATGAATTGACGAATGGAAATCTGGAAGAATAAATGAATAAACGTGAAAACGAAATACTGAATGAAAGAGTGAATGAACGAGCGAAGAAATATGTGAAAGAATGAGTGAATGAACAACTGAATGAACGAAATACATCAGATTGACATTCATATCCAGCAGCGAACAAACTCCCAAGAGGAACGAACGGCAACCTAAACTCAGTACATGCTAACGTTCATCTATTTATTCTGCGTCAAGTTTTTTGTCACAAACGCGAAGCGAGAGAATATGCCATTAGGTGATTCAGTCGCAGTACAAGAAATTTAGGCGAACTCATTCAATAGCAGGACCGCTGTTGATATTTCCGATACTGCTTCGGAACATGTCATAACATGTCTCCTAGAGATACAGCTAGCTCTATTCAGAATACCCTGATTACGATGAATAAAATTTGTAAGCGGAGTGAACCTTTTGCAAAGCTTGGTGACAAAGAACAGCAAGACAACGTGTTACCAACACTAGTGCATCACTGCGAAGTGATTTTTCGACGACCGTCAACATGGTAGGCATTCTGCAGCTGGTAAAACCTGAGAGCGCGTTTCAGCTATTTCCTAATCACAGGTAAAAGGACGGAAATCAGTCATACATCCTACTGCACTGCATCTGCACTCGAATTCGATGTCTCCAGTTAATCATGCCGCTGAATAAACCCATACCACGGAAATTTCGGTTTTCACGCCCACACAGTTTTCAGACAAAACACGAATTCACCGGCGAAAAGAAGTGAAAACGGCTTACCTCCCACGCAGGACTCAGGACTCGCTTCACTTCCCGCAACTTGTTTTCGTTGCTGGTCACAAACGTAAGGATCCTACCACCGCTCATACTTGAGGATAACCTAAAAATCAATATTTTGTAAAAGGGTTTCCCACAGAACTGGTGAAACAAAGCAATTTTAATCATTATTAAAGTCATTAATTTAATGTTCAGTATCATTAAAAGCAACAGGCTGCAGCAACTATCGAAACATCTCTCTGCCCAGCGTAAACGGTCTCCCGTGCAGCTCGGAAAAATTGTGCACAAATATGGTAGAGAGCAACGCTCAAGTTGAGCAATACGACTTCCACCTCCGTCACAATGTACTGGATCATATCTTACCGCTAGGTCTGCGAAAAATGTTGCGAACATGCGAAGTAGAATTTCCACGAAAAAGACTTTGCTTTAATTAAGGGCCAGTAATTCATCAACGGATTGTTTTCTATATGCATGGTTAGGAAACCCATATGTAAAATAGAGATGGACTCACGTCTGTCTTGCGTTTGGGACGTCGTTACCCTCATTCCTAATGGAACTCTGGTTCCTCTGTCACATTATGCCGTTAGCTACTCACAAGAAAACAATCCATATGCAAATGAGATTACGATTGTCTCACTGACTTAGACGAAGTTTGAGACCGAGTGGCCGGGTCGAAGCTATAGTCTTGAAGCAAGATTAGGTCTATGGTCACACAAGAGACCACTAAATCCTTATATGACTATTCAGAGGTCTGGAGTAACGATGGTCGGATGACAGTGCATCTCGAAGTGTTAATGGTTTCCGTCAATCGTATATGGCACTTCCTTTGGTCTTCATAACTTTTATGGATTTGATCAATAAACTCTGTCTGCTTCCAGTAACGGAGAAAGTCAGACTAGGGTAAATCCGGCTGAATCATCTGCAGTTTGTGGATTATCTCGTACCGTTCACTGCACCGAACGATGACGTCCTAATTGACATGATCGCTTCACTGCTATATGCAATGAGGCTTGGAGGAAAATCAGCTTGATCAATTCAAAGGCTATTGTACTCTTTAGAAATACCTAACGGTGCTCCGTAGGTAAGCACACTGCAGTTGAACCTTACGCAGCTCGGAATAACCAAGAGTGACTAGGGTCAGAACGTAAATAGGCATATTTAATGCGCGAGTAAGGCAGTCTGTAGTGAGGAAGAAACAGCTGAGCTGCAATGCGAATTTCCTTGTCTTCAAGTCAGATCAGGTTTATTAGCATGTGCAGCAACTATTGCAATCAGCAATGCACACACTGTCCATTACCCGTGGCCTTAAAAGCTGGACATTGACCGAATAGATACAAACGGTAGAAGCAAAGCGAAAGACTGCTGCGATAGTGAGGTTTGATAAAACTGAAAATATGGCAAGCAGAGATACCCTCAATGCTTAGCTGCTTCTCTCCTAAATCAGGGTATCACTTTACATTACGATAATTTCATATGTGATCAGGAAGTGATAAGAGAAATTCGTAAGGTGGGTTCTCATGGCAAAGCTACATGAAAAGCGGTTCATCGGCAGACCGCGGAGTAGATGAATCGATTATACACAGAGCCTGCCTTCATCACGTCCGGTAATCCGTCATGGAAAGTGTCTGACTGGTACAGTCGTGAAACCTCTTGGAAAAACATTTTAAAATACCGCTACATAAAGCTGCTGCCATAGCGACCCGGAAGAAATAGCTCGCTTTTAAAACAAATGAATGAGTAATACGAGACCTGGCCTCGGGTACATATCTCTGTCATAGGTATATCGCGTCACCGCTCCTCGTAACAGTTTACTTACTGAACTTAAATAAAACTTGCGGATTTCCATAAGGTATCCAACAGTTAAATAACAAAAAACTGCTTTCCTAAAAGATGTACACAGAGCTGCGGAAAAATATTCTGTGCATACTAACTTTACCGATTCAGTCGCAACTACTTTCTATAAAGATGGAATAGTTACAAGCCGGGCAATGATCTACATGTACATATCATGCTACTGAATTCCAAAATAGTAATAACGATAGCTGAAACGCATAATATATGAGCAAAGACAGTGAATACCGTAAATATTTAAGCAATAATTCTCATTGTTTGATAATTTTCTAACTATTCGTCGATTTTAGGACTCATTTCTGAGTTTCACTAAAGTAAAAGCTTGCTTGAGCTGAAAGACTGAATTCTACTAGTCAAGAATGTAAATTGAGGTACCATTAACCATAAGTAGTCAGCTATAACATATTTTCGGATTAGATTTGAAGTTTAGTGTACAGTTTAAATTCTGTTTCCAGGATGGAATTTGAAGTGCGCAGCAATCAGCTGTTAAATTTCTATCGAACATGTTGGCGGTGTTTCCTTCAGATAACAGAGCTCTCTGCCATACAACTCATTAGGACAATACCATATGTGTACTCATGTCAGCAAGACATTTAACTGGATATCTCGAACTATGTCTTCCTCCAGAATGAGACTACCGTCTTTGCTTGGGCCATTCTTGTTTCGGAGAAGAAACTCAAGAGCAATGTTGAATTGCAAAAGCGAAAATACTTCTCCACGGCGAACT